TAACCCAAACCGTGGTATTTTCAATTGCTTCATATACCTGCAAAAGCTGGAGCAGAATCAAGGCATTTGAATGATGGAGTTGGCAAAGAACATTGAAAGTGCTATGAACTGCCAGGAGAACAAAGCAATCCGTCTCGGAAGAAGCACAGCCAGCAGCTGGGACAGTGAGTCCATGTCACCTACTTTGTACATGTTCTGGGGGAACCAGGCCCTGGAAAGACCCTCACGTTTAGGAGAGGAGAGCGCCTGTGAAAAAGAGGGAAGTCCGCACATAATTAACTGAACCCATGGTTGCAGCGGTGGACTCAAGCGTAGCAACATTTGGGGGTGCGGGATCTTGCCGGGTGTCATTCCGTCGTACAGAAGATCGCTAGAAGTTTAACTGACTCATATTTTTTAAATATTTCTTCTGCCTAAAAATTGAGGTAATTGAAAAAAAACTCTGAACAGTAAATGTGTTAAAATATACAATATTATTTTAAATTTAGATACTTAGGCCCAAATCAGAATTGAATATCATTTGAATTTTCTAGCTTTTTTTTCCATTTGAAAGCAGTCATTGTTTGATTAAGAGACCAGATTGCATGGCAGACACCTTCTAGTAAGCGTGTTGCTCTGGTCTTCCCTGTTGCCTGCATCTCCACCTTCTACGAAATGGGTGGTCTTTTTCTTCATCCCACCTCGTGGAAAAGATCATTGGAAGGACCACAGGAAGTTACGTGCTTCTTTGAAGCGTTTCCCAGCAGTATAGAGCTCATGAATCAGATCCTCCTGCAGATGGTGCCATATTGACTAAGAGACCTTACGATCAGAGGGGTTATCTGTCAGGGCAATATGCTTCTTATTGATTTTGCCATCACCACACTTGTAGATTTCATTCATTCACTGACTTCAGTTTTGGGTACCCCATGCAATGCATGGTTCCACAATCCTCAGCATGTTAACTGAAGCCTTGTTAAGGTTAACAAAGGTGCCTTTGAAAATCTAGCAAAGGCAAAGAAGCTGTAACATTTTTCGGACCTTTGGGCTCACACCATTGTCACCTCTGATCCTGAGAACAAACGCCAGCTTGGGCTCTCCAGGCACACAGAAGCTGCCAGCTTTTCTTGCCATCGGAGCCATTCGGATAGCAGTTCTGTCCATCTGCCTGCATTCCTTGTGATCATGCTCAGCTTTCTTGTAGAGAACCTTCATCCTTGCCTTTTGAAGCATCTTTTGGATAAACTTCTTTCTCAGGCGTTTGATCTTTAGTTCTGCAAAATACCTTCGCTTTTTCTTAAGGGTCTCTGGAATATGAGGGACCTTCTTCTTCTCCACTACACCCTCCATAATTCCAGCCAGATTTCTTTTAAAAGGAATGTTCTAGCTTTTTTAGAAATAAATCAACAATATTTTCAGAATCTGTTTTTGTGCTTCTCTCATTTTCAACTGAACTAATAGCTATTTTTGACACTTTCTCTTGATGAAAGATCGATCTTAATTAATTAGCAACTAAGATGCAAAAAATAGGGTGCAGAAATCCTAAATTAATAGAAGACAAAAGTGTTGAAGGAAAATTTAAATCATCACAGTAAACACAGAAAAGGAGAGGGAAGAAAGAGAATATCAAAACCGACATCAAGTAAAAGACACAAGTCAGATCAAACTTATTAATTACATGATAGATACCTAATGGCAAAATTGATCGGCTTGAGTAGAAAAGCAAATCCTGGTATATACTGTTTTGCAGGATATACACTTATTACTCAATAATCCTCCAAAATGAAAATAAGTTGATTGACAAAGAATACCTAGTAAATGAAAATAAGGAGAGAACAGGCTGACAATATTAGTATTAGAAAAAATGTAACAAATGGCAATAAATAAAGATAAAAACTGAAAGGAAACCATAATAGCAATGAGAGGTTTTTTGTTTTGCTTTTACTTGTTATTATGACTTGGGTGAAGGTTTACAAACCAGATCCATCTTCCACACACCAGTTCGTGTACATTGTGTTTCATGACAATCCCACCAATGTGACATCACTGGGTCCACTGTCTCCCTGTGTTTCCTGGATGCATTCTTCCTTCCCAACACTTCTGAGGTTTGCTCTTGGATAAACGCTGCCCTCCTGGCCTCAAATGGTGGACTATCACAAGGAATGCAAAGCTTCCCAGTGCTATTGATCCTCTTATAGATCTCTCTATTGTTTGGCTGAAAAGTGAGACATGGGAGTGAGAAATGAAGCATGTAAGGGAAAAAAAAGTGTGTGTTTTTTTACATAAATCAGTTAGAGTGGGAGACTTTACCATATTTCTTTTTTTTTAAATCATTTTATTGGGGGCTTTTACAGCTCTTATAACAATCCATACATCAATTGTATCAAGTGTATTTATACATCTGTTGCCATCATTATTTTCTAAACATTTATTTTCTATTTGAGATCTTGGTATCAGCTCCTCTTTTTACACCACCCTCCTCCCTCCACCCTCACGACCCCTTGATAAATGATAAATTATTATTATTTTCATATCTTACACTGACCTCTGTCTCCCTTTCCCCACAAAGCATGATCCCCTTCTGTCCCGAGTGTCACCAAAATATTGAGTCGACGTTCAAATTCTGCCCCTACTCCGGAAAATTTTTGCCTACCGAGGAGTGGGGGTGGGGGGGTCTCCAACCTCTGTCAGACCTCCGATGTCATCCTTCCGAGGTCCCAGGAAGATCCAAGCTCCATGCCTGAAACCCCTTGCAAGAAAGGGAAATGGTCCAGCACTGTGACCTCTCCCCCACTGCCCCTCTGCTCCGACAGTGACAGCTTCGAGTCTAAGGAATTCCTGAGGACATCGCAGTGGCCCAGAGGCTCCAAGTCCCTTTCGGCCTCCCTCTCTGGACTGGGCGTCTCTCACAGACAGGAACCAGGGCTCTGGAACAAGCCTCCGACCCCCAAAACCAGCCCACAGGCAGCCCGGCAAAGCCCCCAGACTCTGAAGCAGAGCCGGCTTGACCACCTCCCTAGAGGTCTTGGGCCTGGGAACCAAGACCAGGCAGCACTGGGAGCTGAGCTTCCTGCAGACCAGGGACGACCAGTGCCTTTTCTAGCCGAGCTCCTCTCCGACACCCCGACTTCTTGGAAGCAAAGCTATTCACTCAAACTAGATGTCGAGGACGATGTCTGCTCAACAGAGTTTTTTTGCAGCGAGCCGGGAGACAGGCCACGGCACAGCCCCGGGGCAGGGTGAGAAGACACTTCAGGGCCTTTTGCAAAGGCTTCCTTGTGGCTGTGGCCGTGGTAGTGACTTTCCTGCGTGGCAAGAGTGAAAGGGGCCTCGGTGCAGCCCTCGCTGAATCCAGGCGGGAGCCAGTCATCTGAGGTGGCGCTGCTGAACCCCTGGAAAGTGAGGAACCTGGAAGTGCAGCGTGGTGACGTCTTGTCACTGGTGTCCCCAAGAAACCCAGGACAGAAGATCAAGAGAGTGATTGCACTTGAAGGGGACGTCGTCAGAACCATCGGTGCTAACCGCCGCTATGTCCAGATCCCCCCGGGTCACACGTGGATCGAAGGCGATCACCACGGGCACAGTTTTGACAGTCATTCTTTCGGGCCGGTCTCCCTGGGGCTCCTCCACGCCCACGCCACCCACATCCTGTGGCCTCCACAGCGCTGGCAGAGACTGGAGTCAGTTCTGCGCCTACTGGTCCAGAGCGCAGAGGAGTGGCGGCATGGATGTCCCCCAGTGCTGGCCTTGGAAGCCGACAGCACCCAGTGCAGGAAGGGGGATAGAGCACCCAAAGAGAACACTCAACCAGATGCTGCTCTGTGCGAAACACGTTGCATAGAGACGTCTGTGTAAACATCAGGGAAGAATGCTTTGATGTTGGAGTTTCAAAGACTACCCAATGGACACGTTCAATGTTGGTAGCCGAAGGTCCAAGGGCAAAGAAGAATCCAGACACCTGTGAATAGGAAGCAGTCTCATGCCCACATGCCTTAAAGTGGGTACACTTGAAACTGTGTGTTGTTAAATGCTCATTCTATCACAAAAAAAAAAACAAAAAAGAAAAAATGAGGGAGCTATACATGAATTTTTAAGTGGGAAGGGAATGTGATGTGATTTATATATTTAAAACATCAGTCTTAAAAAAAAACCAAAAACATTTTATTGGGAGCTCTTACAAATAGCACGACATTTCACCATCCAGTCACATCGGGCAGTATTATGCAATTGCCACCACAATCAGTTTCAAAACATGTTCTTTCTTCTTGAACTCCTTGACATCAGCTCCCCTTTGTCGCCTCCCTCCCCCACCATAGCCCCCTTTTGTTAAAATTATTTAAATAATGGTGGGGTTTTTTTGTTTTGTGCCATATTTTGTACAATCCTATCTATCCATTCAAAAACATTAGTCTTATAGAAAATTATCTTGGGTATAAAACCGGAAGGCCAACTAGGATACTGTTGTCACCTGGTTGACGTTGATGACTTAGACTATTACGTTCATAGTGGAGGTAATAAAAATTGGCCAGGTTTAGGATGTATTTGGAAAGAAGAGGTGACATGAATTGGTTTAACTGTGTGAAAAAGAAAGAGAAAAAAATGACCCTCAATTTTTTTACCTAAGGAACTGAGATAGGGAAATCATAGGATAATTAGAGGGTAATTAATGAGAGTAACTAAGAGTTAGTACTGAGCTGATGTCAGATAGATCTTGGCTCAAAGTAGAGAATACCAGAAGGTGTTCACTTGTGTTTTATTGACTACGTAAAGGTATTTGATTGTTTAGACCATAATAAACGACAGATAACTTTGAGAAGAATGGGAATTTCAGAACACTTCATTGTGCACATGAAGAACTTGCACATGGATCAAGAGTCAGTTGTGAGAACAGAATAAAGGGAAACTGCATGGACTAAAATCAGGAAAGGTGTGCATCAGGGTTGTATCCTCTCACCATACTTCAATCTCTATGCTGAGCAAATCATCCGAGAAGCTGGATTGTATGAAGAAGAATATGGCATCAAGATTGGAGGAAGGTGTATTATGCAGATGATATAGCCTTGCTTGCTGAAAGTGAAAAGGAATTGAAGCAATTGCTGGTGAAGATCATGGATTGCAGCCTTAAGTATGGTTTATGACTCAATGTAAAGAAAACCAAAATTCTCACAACTGGGCCGATAGATAACATCATAAAAAGTGGAGAAGAGGTGAAGTTGTCAGGGCTTTTGTTTTGCTTGGGTCCACAATCAATGTTCATGGAAACAGCAGTCAAGTGATCAAAAGACAACTTGCATTAGGTAAATCTGCTGCACACAACTTCTTTAGAGTATTGAAGAGTGAGGTTGTTACTTTGAGGACTGT